AAGAATTATAATTAGAGAGTATTTTGTTTTTTAAATTATGATTCAGAGATTTTAGAAAAATTGTATTTCTTTCTAAGTTTTTATGTATTTTTTGTAATGCATATTAATAAAGTTTTCTTCGTGTAATTTATAAATAAATATTTCCTAATACAGTAATTTTATGCTAATCATCATCATCTTATCAGAAATAAAAATATATTTGTCCATCATTCCTTTAATCATCATTTTTACTAGAAATAGGAATATATCTGAAATTTTCAAATTAATTCCTAACAAAAGTTTCGTCCATTTTTTTGACCTAATCTTTATCATCACTTTTCATTTAATTTTGTTTTTTTTTTTTGAAACTTCCAATTCTACGATACTGTTTGTTAATTTGATTTAATATATTAGTTTAATTTAGTATTGATAGTTTTACCATTAACAATTGATAGTATAGAAATAAATTAGTGTAACTTTTTGATTTGTTATCATTAACCTTAAGTTCATTTCTTTAATAAATGAAGTAATATTAAGTATTCTAGTATTTATTACAAAAAATTTGCAATTTGTCACTTTTTTTTCTTATCTGTGATTTCAAATTTCATCGTTATACATTGAAATTATTGTCATAATTATCGTAATTTTATCAATTTCGAGAAAAAGAATGTTTGACAGTATCCTTTAGCAATGAATCTTTCTGACTTTTTCATTATCACTACATTATCATCTTATTTAATGAATTTTTTTACAGTTTTAATTGATAAATTTTTCATTTTTTTTAGTATAAATTCAAATCAGATATAGGATCAGAACGATTATTGGAAATAACTACAGTAATTATTCAACAAATACGACAATTTGCTAAAACAATCGAAATCTACGATACTGTTTGTTAATTTGATTTAATATATTAGTTTAATTTAGTATTGATAGTTTTACCATTAACAATTGATCGATTTAGAATTCAAATTATTTTAAATACATCGATATATTTCAAGTATTTCGTTTCTTTTTTTTTTTTTAAAATTTCTCAATATGATGCTTGTTATGAATAAGTATAAATTTATACGCTAACTAGCAACAATCGGTTATTGATTACATTTAGTTAATTAATTTAATTCAATTAATTGATTCACTTTTTTTTTAGTTGAATCATTCGGAGCAGGAGGAATTAATTACGAAAAGTTGGCTAGTAGTAAAAATTCTACAAATTATCCATGAATTCGATCCCACAGAACGTTGCTTAATGTTAGCTAATAATACAACTTATATAGCCGCTAAAGGCAATTATTCGTCATTAGATAATACGACGAAAATTTTTGAAAATTTAATAAATTTGGCTACAAGTTTTAATTGTATGCAATTGGATAATCGACAATTAGCCTTGCTATCAGCTTTGCTAATTTACAATCCTGAAAATGCAAAGGAATGCGTAAGTTAATTTAATTATCCTTATTATCATAATAATGATTATTATCACTATTTGAATCATTCGAAGCAAGAAGAGTAGTAATAATTAACAAGTGATGCATCAAATAATTCATAATATTAATGTGATAGTGATGATGATTATCTTCTTCATAGTACTAATAATATGATAGTTATCATGATAAAAATTATCACTATCACTATCATATTAATATGATGAATTATTGAAGATGGCATTATGATTCCTTGCTATAAATTATTAAAGTTAAGTATTTTGATTAATCTTCGAGTTATGATATTAAGCAGCAAATAAAGTATGATTAAATTATTTTCTGTACTTTTACTAATTCAAATTATAAAGGACTGATAAACAAGGAAAAAAGAATACTTTAAAATTCCCATAATTTTTCTTTTTTTTTCCTCTTTATTGAAACTTTTATATATTGCTAATATTTGAATTATTGAAATATTTCAATTCTAAATTTCAAATAAGTAATTAATTTTAGAAGGAAAAAATTAATAAAGTACACATGGAATTATGGAAATGTTTGCAAAGCATTAGCGAAATACATGATGGCGATTCCATCGATTTACTACACTGGCCAAATCTTCTTGTTCGAATACCGTATCTGCTCCTTACCGTTTCCAATATGGAGGATTTTTTTTATGACGAAAATAATATCAATGCAATAGCAAATATTCTTCTTTTTAAATTTTCATAAACTAATTTAAGAGTAATCAAAATAGTTCTTTAAGATAGATTACAGGTAGAATTACAGGTAAGTGAATCAGATATTAAGATCTAAGCACGGATCTATTGACTATCATATTTAGAATTGAGCTGGACATTTAAACATATGAGATTTGAACCTCGAACAAAAAATAATTGAATTCGAAATGGACAGTTGAACTTAGGTAAAATGTTTGACATGAGAATCAGTTAAAACGTGAACGGTTGCAGTTCGGCAAAAAGTTTAACGTAAGAGAGTGAAATATTACGGTTTTAAACGTAGATAAATTTGACTGAAACGTGGACGGTCAAGTTTAAGTAAAGTCATTTGACGTGACACGGCGAAATATTAGGGTTTAAACATGGGTAAATCTGGTTGAAACATGGACGGATAAGCTTAAGTAAAGTCGTTTGATGTGACGATGTGGAATATCAAAGTTGAAAGACGGATAAATTTGACTGACACCTGGACGGTCGCATTTTAATAAAACATCTGACGCAAGGATTATTAGGATTTGAGTGCTTTTAATTGACGTAAATACGTAAGAACTGACGTAAATATATTAGTATTTAAACAAGAGGATATTTCAAAAGAAAATCATAAAATCAAATTAATGATATTATTAGTAGGATAGGGAAGATATAAAGTTAATTAGATGAAAACGTGAAGTAATGATACAGCGAGCATGAAGAAATTAATAAGGAAGAATTATGAAAAGGTAAATTTATGGAAAAATAAGCAAAAGTAAGTTCTATTATCCTTTCCTTTATGAATAATAAACACCTGTAATTACCTGAAATATAATAAATAGAAACAAATAATCAATTAAAGTTCAGTCAGGTAAGTTAGCTTTGATATTTTTTCAAATTTTCAATATTACTTCTGTTTTAAGAAATTCAAATGTATCAAATTCAAATTTTTTCAAACATTGTCATTTTGTTAAAAAAAAACACTCTAATATTTGGAATAATTAGATCAAATTTTTGTTTTTCATTAAATATTAATTATTATTTCATTATCACTCACAAGTATAATGTAAAAAAATTTATTTTATTTTTTCAGGTACTATCAAAAACAATTTATCTGGAATCAATTTACATTTGTAATAATGGATAGACAATTTTTTTTTTCAATTTAACTTTCAAAAAATTTTGAAGAATTTTTAACAATTCCATTTTCGAATATTTTTGATAAAATTAAAAATTTTTTTCGCTTTTTTTCGTTTGTTTGCTAAAACTTTTTCTCGAAAAGTTTTCAATTAAATAATCCAGTTTTCTTGAAAAAAAAAGAAAAGCAAATAAAAAACAATTTTGAAATTAAAAAAAAAAGATTTGGCATATTTCAGAAAATAATTATATGCTTTAACTAAATATTTTTTAATTTTTCTTTTCATAAAACTTTTTGAATATTTACATGCATTTCATAAATTTACAATGTTTAATGTTTCATTTTTTTTCTTTTTAGCTATACATTTTCAATTTTAAAAAATCAATTTTTTCGATAACTTTTTGAAGTGAAAAAAATTTTTTTTTCAATAACTTTCGGAATAAAACTTTTGAAGTATAATATTTCATCACTTTTCGGCTATACATTTTCAATTTTTAAAATACTTTTCGATCATAACTTTTTGAATAAAACTTTTTTTTAATTTCTTCAGTTGTTTTGCATGCAACATTTCAATTCACTTAGCTGCATAATTAATTTTGCTCAAACCGGTTCCGGTATATAATAGATCATTGTTTTATCACGGCTAGACATGTAAATGATTTATGACTTATTTTGATTACAATTAATAATTAATCTTTGATTTTCTCCTTCCTCAAATGGAAATTATTACACTATTTCAATCATGAAATTTCATTTCTTTGTTGTTTACACTTGTAAATTTATTAGAAATGGATATAAATAATTAAGGAAATAAAAAATTTGGTAATTAAATTCAAAAAGTTTCGAAGAAAATAATAAAATAACTAGCACTAAAATTTAAATTTATTAATGTAAAATGTAAAGAAAAAAAAAAAGAAATTACAATAACATTTATGAATCGTTGAATTTATGCAAATGCCTATTTGTACTAGCAAACAGTAATTTTATTGTTTTAGCAATTAAATAACAATAAGATTATAATTTATATCATTGATGCAAAATGTACCAAACATATTCATTAATTAATACTTATATATCAGTAACAATTGGGCTATTTTTTATCCTTTTAATGCAAAAATTTTCCATTTTATTGCTTCGTGCTATTTCATAACAACAATTATCATAAAAACCGGTTCGTAAACTGGTTGATAAATTTTGAGATGATGGTGATATATCGTTGTGACATGCTTGAATGGTTGATTCGGTGAAAAAAATTTCTACCGATTCACTACGATTTTCATTTTCATCTGCATCTATCAAACTGTATACTATCTGTAATGATAGTTATTAATTAATGAATTGATTATTTAATGATTCATAAATACCAATGAATTGAATCATTTTAGTGACAAGAATTGATATGATAAGGAATTAACAAATAACAATGTTAATTATATTTTAGTGTAAATATTACAGTGAAAATTATACAAGCTTGATTTAAAAAAAAAAGTGTAAAAGCGAAATTTGAGAAATTTTAGTTATTGTCAAATTGAAATTGTGCAGAAATTACGTGCATTGATTCGTTTCTTTTTTTTTGCAGCTTATCATACCTTATCAATGATATTAACCAATTCATTAATTACACATTTATCAAGTAATTAATCCAGACAATTGTCTAATTACCGTTAAAGTTAAATTGAATTTTAGTTAAATTTTTTCTTCAGTTAAATTTTTAAATGTAAATTTAATGATTGAAATTTTTTGATTTCATCAATTGAGATAAATATCAGGCATGCAATATATGTAATTTCTGCAATTTCAATTTCTTCTTTTCCTGTAATTCGAATGTAAAACTAAATATCGTCACTATACTTAATTTAAATTTAAAATTCAAATACCGGTAATGGTGAAATTTCATCATAAATAGATTGCACAATAGCTTTTAACGCTTTTTGATCGTCACTGCTATGGTCAATAACAATTTTATGACCATCGTCCGCTCGTCCAATATGTACGATATGCCTCAATATAATACATATATTTAATTTAAATACTTTTATTTGATTTCCTCTTCAATAATTAATTTAATTATTCATTCAATAAATTATTTCATGAAAGTATTACAACTTGTAAGTAAACTAAAAATAAATTTTAATTAATTTTGTAATTTATAAAATCTATGAAAGTTACACAAAATTGATAAGATTTTTTTTAACAATAAATATGCAGTACTAAGCTATAATTTATTTAATAATTCAAATTTGAGTATCACTAAATTAATTTGTAATTAATTCATAGATATTAATTAACTTGTATAGCTATTTTAAAATCCATATCCTAATATCTAACGAATGTTATAACCAACGAGTAATATTTGAAAAAATTTGGTTCGGGATATCTCAGGAATATCACACAATCTTTTAGTAGTTCCGAGATTATTAAATGAATAAATATATTTCATATTTTATTAACTATACCTAATCATTAAGCTTGCAATGATATTTTTTAAAATGATAATATCAATATCAATTAGAAGTATAAATTTTGGAAAATTTTTTTTTCATTCTTTTCTTTCTATGATTTCATCACTTTTGTCAAAATTTAAAAATACTTGAATTCATTCGGTAGACCAATTTCAATTTTATCCTTTTTGCGCTTTTTTGATAGCTTTCTCGAGAATTGTCTCATCAATGTTTCATTGTTGTCAATTGATTTCTGCATAAGTGGTGGTGCTATTGCTGCTTTAAATTTTACAATTATTTGCATAATTAAATTAAATACAAAAAGTTTACAGCAAAAAAAATTTAACTTTCCGTATTATCATATTCG